GCCTAGTGTGTCACAAGGGAGCTGTTTAATTTCTCCAGGAGCTGGCCTTAGTGGACAACGAATGTGTTTGCCTTGAAAAGAGGGAAATAAGATCGCTCCTCTCCTTCTCAGCACCTCTTCTAAATGTCTCCACCTTCTCACTTTCTCCTTCTTCACCCCTGAGTTAGATGAGACCTTTTCCTAGGCCCACTAAGACCACCTTCCAGAGTTGGCAACCTAGAAAAAAGAAAACTAGGTAAATAAGTAAACAAAAGCAAAAGTGGAGCTAGGAAAGATGAGATACAATCGTGGCTTAAGGGGACTGAGATCATGTCTGGGGCTGTGAAATCTAATGTAAATTCTGCTGCCCAGATTTGGGAATGTGTGTGGTTGGTTCCTTTTCCCTTCGAGGCATTCCAAGTATACTCTTCCCGTGGAGCTCTCTAAAGCTAAGATATGTCTATGGATTGCAGCTCAACCCTGGCCAAGATAAAATGTTCAGCTAATTTGGGAAATTTTTGCTATCATAAAAATATTTATATCCTAATATTTAGAATGAAACTTTCTTTCATGACTTACACACTACAAATCATTTTGGAAGCCTTTCTGACAACAGCCTCTCCCAAGGAAAGAATCCCCATGCACTAAAGAATTCCCAACATATCCAGTTCAGACTTGCATCATGATATTTAAAACAATTTCCACAACACACAAAGTCCTATCTAGTCTCTAAGGATAGTGCCTCATTCCAAAGCACTGGCATAGAATGTTACTGGCTAAATAAATTAACAAAATAAATGAAGAAGTGAAAAAATGTAGCCATCAAATGTTGCCCAGCTCTAGAAATAATTGCCACTTTGCCTAGTACACGTGTCAAATTCTTGCCTCATATTTTGTAAAAAGGTTTACATAGAACATATGGTTGTCACTATCCTAGGCAAGGATAAAGCTTCTGTTTAATAGAGAAGGAATGTGGTGATCAAAAGGTAGGTCAGGAGTGCTGGAAAGTGGGACCCAAGTTTTCCCTTCCAGCATTTTTTTTCTCCACACTTTCTTGCTTTCCTGCTGGTTGCTCCTGCACATCTAACTCCTAGAAAGAGCCAGCTTTCCTAGGTTCCTTCTAAACTGCTCATCTTTAAAGTTTTGATGAAGTGATAGCTTTTGCAAGTTTTATTATGATCATAGAACTATCTCTTAAAGTTTTCACAGAACAATAATGACACAGATTTTCACTTTCACTTGTTCCTGTTATACAAGTTGTCAGTTACCTTAGTTTTTCCTTTCATCTTTCTCACTCTGCTCCCAAATCTCCACTCTCTCGGTTTCAATCTACTTAAATTAAGGAAGTGATTTAAGCTCGGTGTTTTCACTTCTTTTTCTTTCATATATTATTTTCCTAAGCCAACATGCATCAAGTCCTTAAGCAATTGGAAATATATTAATAGGCTCAAAAAGAAAAAGAAAGAAAGAAAACTTCCGACGTTTGTGCAGCTTTGAAATGGTGAGAGGTCACTCAGTCGTCAGGGAGTCAGCCTTAGAGGGCGGAGAGCTTATTTGTGTATTTTACATCTTTTATAGAAAGAAACAATAGCCGGCTCCCTTGGTTCGGAGTTCTTGGCGCCGCCCAGTGGAGAGAAGCGCTTTTGCGCCTTATTCCTGTCAATTTTGACAGTAAGTGGACCCTGTGAAACGTTCAAATGAAACATGATAAAAGAAACACCAGTTTTAACTCCGTCATATTTTGTGAATACATTTCTTCAGAGTTAAATTTCTTCTAATTTATTCGGAATTTTAAAATACGATGCTCCAGTTTAAAAGAAATCAAAATCTAGGTACTTGAAATGGACCATGGAGGATGTATTAGGGGACAAAACTTAATATGCAAATGTTTGAACCAGTCTCTGCGACAGGAAAGAAGTGTCTTTGGTGTTCGTTGTTGATTAGCACTGATACGGCCTGGAAGTAAGTTTGTTTTCTAGTCACAATTGACAAAAAAAAAAAAAAAAAAAAAAAAAAAAAAAAAAAAAAAAAAAAAGGACTGCTCTCTGGGTAATAATTCCAAACATTCACAGAATTTTCTTTCTTCTTAAAAAAAATGAGCGCCTGTAAAATCATTTTAAAAATTCATGTCAGTTTAAGGACTCCATTTGTATTTTAAGTCCACTAGAAAAATCCGATATTAAATTCACACTGCATATCCATTCACTTGGAAATGTGATTAATCTATACTCCAAGCTATTGTTATTTAAAAATATTGATTATTCAAAAATGAAAACTAAATTATACTTGTTCTGGCAGAAAATATATGGGGTTTTTTGTACATATATATTTTTATACCTTTAGAAAAAGAATGGAAAAGAACATCTTTGGAGAAAAAGGACAAGTTAAAATGCTAGCTTTTAAGAATTTATTTCTTAATAAGTTTGTGATCTGGTCTTTGAGTCCTGCTTTTGATGCTTCAGGCCATTACTATTATTTTCTCTCTGGAAGAGACCCAAATATAAGAGGTTGAAATCGTCAAAGTCGTATTTTCCCTTCACTATTGTTATTCCCCAAAGCTAATCTCCTAACACTCTGCCAAAGAAATCTTCTATATTAACCTTTTAAGAAAATATGATCTGAAGCATTCACAAGGTGGGCCTACAAGGGTTTCTGCTTGAATTGGAGTTTTCTTAAAACATGCATACCCTTCCCCCCAACACTTCGACGTCCCACTCTCCCTTTCTTTTCAGATTTCATTTTTTTCTTGGGTCACATTTCTGCTGTCTTCCTTGTCAGTGTTGTGAAGTATTCCAAACCAAAACCAAAACCAAAACCAAACACATCCCGCCCAAAAAAATCCTTCTGTTGAACCACCCAACACAAACTGTGCTATCAGCCTTTTGAGTCCTAGAGACATTTTAGGCTTCGGAACAAAACAAAAACAGGCTTAAATGAATTATTTATCAAGGTCGAGGATAACTGATTTGTGCAATGCTGTCAGTTCTGGATTTTAAATTTGTTTTTCCCTCTCTTCCCATTTCCCACCCCGAACTCGCGGCAAAGCGAGTGCGAGTTGGAGCCCCGGGGCGAGGGAAGTTGGTCGGTGATGTCAGCGCGGGAAGAACCCTGATCGATAACTCGCCCGCCGTCCCGGGCAGCCCCCGCGTCCTTCCCGCCCATCCCACTGCGGTCAGCTGGCCGGGGCTCCGGCGCGGAGACGGCGGGGCTGCGTGGCGGGCGGGGCCTGCTGCCCGGGACTAGCGCTCTTTGTACCTCCGCCGCCGGTGGTCGCGGAACCCCGGCCGGCCGGAAGGCCCAGGCCTGGCCCGAGAACTCCGGGGAGAGCCTGCCCAGCCCGCAGCCAGTTTCGGCGCCCGCAGAGGCCGATCCAAACCCGCTGTCGCGGCGGTCGTCCTGGCCCAGGCTGGCCTGACCCGACCCTCGGCCGGCCGCACGTTCCCGAGGGGCTCCCCGAACCCCTCAGGGCGGCGAAGGCCTCTGCCCCGAGCTCGTCACGCGTCCCCGCCTCGGCTCACCAAGCCCGGTTTCTCCGCCCAACTCCCCTCGTCCTCGGAGAAAAGCGCGAGCTCTTTCCTCCTGGGTTCCTTCTCTCCTTGCTGCTCTCAGAGACAGCGCGGTGGAAAACGGCACGAGGATGTTTCCAAACAGCTCAACAAACCTCGACACAGCGCGAGCTTTTCCTGGGTGAAACACTTCGACTGGGCACGACTTGCCCAATATCCCCTTCCAGACCAGGGGCTGACACTGCAGTACCCAAGGAAAGGCAAGATCTTGTCCCAGAGGACACCGGCTTCCCTGGCGTCTTCCCTGACCTCAGCAAAAAAAGCTGTTCCCCTGACCGCGACCCCCAGAACTGCAGCGAGAGCCCAGATTTGGGCCCAGCCCTTGGAGACTTTAAAGGCCATTACCTAACACGGCATCTAGTCACGGAAGCGATGCCAACCACGCAGATTCATAGGGTTCTTAAAATGGTAATTTGGAGTAAAATGTAACTCAAAGAACTTTGAATCATTCATTAGCACCTTATAATTACTTTGCTAATTAGGTTGACACGGTACTTAATCAGGAGTAATATGCCGTCATGTCACTGGCACTTCCCATTACTCTGACATTCAACAAGAGACAGGTTGAGGCGTCCTAAAGAAAATAATGCAAGTTGATACTCTCCGACAAGGCGTCACAGTCACGCTCCGGGTCCCAAGTGGATCCGCAGTGACTGTTTCCTCTCCAGGTGAGCGGCTGGTCTTGAAGCGTGGGGGACACGGATGACCCGGCTAGGGCGCAGGCTGGGGGGTCCGAGTCCCTCGCCGGCCTGACCCCGCGGTGAGCGGCTGCCCTCGCGCCGGAGAACACCTTCGGCACTGCTTCCCCTCGTGGGAAGACAGGGGTCGGGCCAGGCCGGCTCCCACCTGAGGTGAGGCTGGGGCCCCGGGCTCCAGCACAAGGCTGGGTTCTCGCAGCAAACCCCGCTCAGCTCTGCCACCAGGCTGGGCCGATCCCGAGCGCGTGGGCTCCTAAGGGGGAAACCCGAGCGGCAGCCGGCCGCCTATCTGCGCTGCACCCCGGAGTCGCACAGCTCCGCGTGTGCCACCGGGCCCCGTCTGTGCCCAGGGTCTCCGGACTGTTCACGCGGGCGTCTGGGGAAGCTGCGCGAGTCTGAACGTGAGCTGGCCCTCTGCCGCCACACTCCCCGTGACTTGAGAAACGTGCACGGCGTTACCACTTTTTTGTTTCCTCCCTTAGGTGCCCTTTTTCTGTCTCCCGCGTTTCTCTCCCCTCGTCTGTCTTTGCCCTTTGCTTGTGATTGTGGACACCGAGGCCATCGCACTGAGTGCTCGGCCCAGAGCTGCGGGCAAAGCGAAGCGCGGGTTCTCAAAAGAGCAGCGGGGTCCGCGCCGCGCTCGCTGACGGGCTCCCGAGCCGCGCATCCATTGGCTCCTGGCACGCCGGCGTCGCTCGCTCGCGCGGGCGTGGCCAATGGGGGCGCGGGGCCGACGCGCGGGCTCGTGGCGGGGGCTCGGGCGGCGTGGCGTGGGGAGCGGCGACAGTGGCCGTGACGTCACGGGAGGGGGTCGGCGCCGCCCGCGAGCCGCCGGATTACAAGCGAACGCGCCCGGCTGCGGTCGGAGTTGCCGGGCATCGAGTCTTTGCGGTCTCCTCCGCCTGCGCCTGCTCCTTCTCTTCCTCCTCCTCCTGCTTTTTGGGTGGCTGAGGCCGCCGCGATCGTTTCTGCGCCACAACTTTTCCAAGAAAGTTCAGAAACTCGGCTCCGTGGCGGCCGGCCAGGTCGCGCGTAGTAGCCACTTCGGGAGCCGCCGGGGAGCTCCGAGGGCGCGTGGCCGCTCCAGTCCTGCGCTCGCTGCACCTGCCACGTCCGCTCACGCCGCTGCTGCCGACCGGTGCCAGCCTGTGGGCCGACCCAGGCGGCGGCGGCGGCGGCTTCGGGGTCCCTTCCGGACGCCTGCGCCCTCGCCAGGTCCCCTGTGCCGCTGCCGCCGCCGCCACCGCCGCCCCACGTGCGCGCGGTGACCCGGGGAGGGCACGCTCCCTGCTTTCCCTATTTTTTTTCCCGGTAAGTCCCCCCTGCCCGCCCCTTATCATTCCCCCTCGCCTTAAGTCTTGCATAAGGTGAAAAAAGTTGTGTCTAAAGTGTTCACCGATTATCACCTCATTATCCTTTCCCTCTTGCCCCCCCCCCCTTTTATTTTTTAAAGCAGACGAAACATTATTTTGTTTTACGGTCGACAACTTCCTGTGCTTTTTTGGTCAGGGCGGCTGGTGAACGGCGGAGTGGCGTGGACCTCATGTAGAAATGACAACAATGGAAGGGACCAGCGGGTCTAGTTTTGGAATAGACACGATTTTGTCCAGTGCCAGTTCGGGCAGCCCCGGCATGATGAATGGAGATTTCCGTCCTCTCGGGGAGGCGAGGACCACGGATTTTAGGAGTCAGGCCACTCCGTCCCCATGCTCGGAGATTGATACCGTAGGAACGGCGCCTTCTTCTCCCATCTCGGTCACCATGGAGCCCCCGGAGTCGCATCTGGTAGCAGAAGGGCCCCAGCATCACCACCACCTCCACCACAGTCAGCTGCCACCACCGCCAGCCCCGGCCCCGACGCAAAGTTTGCAGCCTTCGCCCCAACAGCAGCCGCCGCCGCCGCCTCCAGCCGCCCAGCAGCTGGCCTCCGCTGCCTCGGCCCCGAGGACTTCCACCTCTTCTTTTTTAATTAAGGACATCTTGGGCGACAGCAAACCTCTGGCGGCGTGTGCACCCTACAGCACCAGCGTCTCCTCTCCCCACCACACCCCGAAGCAGGAGAGCAATGCAGCGCACGAGAGCTTCAGGCCAAAACTGGAGCAGGAGGACAGCAAAACCAAACTCGACAAGCGGGAAGATTCCCAGAGCGACATCAAATGCCACGGTGAGTCGCGTGGCCAGACCGCCGACCAGCTTCTCCTCCAGGTTCCCTGCCCCGCGTCAGCCGCCAGCAAATCTCAGGAGGAGGAATTATTCTGGGAGAGTCCTAGGCGCTAGTGGAAAGAGCACAAAGCTGAAGAGAGGCCTGGCCGAGTAATTAGAGATACCTCCGAAGTTCTGTTTATTGTTTCATTTCTTCCCCTCAGTTTTCGCTGCCAACCAGCTCCGTTTTTTGTTTTGCTTAATTTTAATGTTTTGGGAAGGTGGGCAGCAGCGAGGAGCTGTGAAAGGAAGTACTCTTCATTGATAAAGGGTCGGACTTTAGATTTTACTAGCTGAGACTTTGAGAATGGAAATGGGGGAGGCTGAAGAGGGAAGCTACCTAGCTAGCTCCGGGGCTAGGGCTGTGATCACGACCTGATGTTAATGCTTTAATGCAACTGATCGTGTCTCTCTTCTTTTCCAAACACTAACACAAGAAATATTGGGTTTAATGAAGAAAACATTTCCTAGTCGATTAATAGAGTGACTTAAATAAATTAGTGATTAATATAGAGAGCTCATAAGCACTTTAAAAAAAAAAAAAACCCTTTCTTCCCCAATAGTGTCAACAGAACTTACGTATTTTTAGTAAAATTTTTGGTTTCTTACAAGTAGTGGCAAGATAACGTTTATACATGTAAAATTTATTTTTGTGAAATCAGATGAAAATGAGAATTGTCCTTTACCTCCCCTTTTTCATTTTCTCTTTAATCTCATGATTAAATGTTCTGATCTTTGCTTGGGAAAAGAGGTTTAGCATATGCGGGCAGTAGTTTCTTTTTCCCTTTACTGATAAATTATTAAATTATTATTAATCCTTGCTTCTCTGGTCAAGAGATGTGCTGACTGTCTGGAAGGTAGGAATTTACTTCTCATTTTACTATTACAGTATTAGCATAATAGTGCTCAAAACAGATGTACAGTCTGGTCTGGCGATTTTTCGTGCACCAACCTCCCCAGTGGGTCAATTAGAGAGATTATTGTTCTTCCTGCAGGGAAGATCAAGGAGCGCTGCACAAACGGGTACAAACAGAGAGGGATTGACATATCGATTTCCCAGCATTTCAGTAAAAAACCAAAGTTGACAAATAGAATCCGGAAATCACACTGTCACCTGGACTGGTTCAGTGATTTTGAGCTCAATTCAGTGTCTGGGTGACACATTTGGTTTTGGAACTTGGAAAGATCTCATGCAGGCAACTACAGAAAGCTTGATTCTAACATTTCCCAAGTGCATCTGAAAAAGAAACAAGTGCCTGTAACTTTCAGTAAACAGAAAAAAAGTAAAATGAAAAAGGTACCTCCTCAAAAAAAAAAAAAAAAAAGAACCTAAAAACAACAAACAAAACCAACCAAACAGACTCTTTGAAATGAATCAAATCAGAAAAATGGTCATAGTGAAAGCAATTTAAAATGGATAATATCACCCCAAGCAAGAAAAAACAGTAACAAAAGAAAATTTTATTCAAAAGTACTTTAAAAACTTTTAATTTTCAACTACAAGAAGATCAAATTCTCTTTCAGAAACTGTTTAGTGTCTGCACAGGGTCTCACACTCCCCAGTTAGAAAACAGCCCTCTTCATGCATACTGGCTAAGGCCCAAGTATGTGCCTGTGAGGGTGGTGACAGAGTGTAGTCCCTCAGGATCAGAGGCTGGCTTGGGGATGTGGAAGTGTGCACCAGGACACTCTACCCTTTCCTATTTCAGGCTAACTTACACAACTATGGCTCCGTTTCTATCACAGGAACAAAGGAGGAAGGAGACCGGGAGATTACAAGTAGCCGGGAGAGCCCCCCTGTAAGAGCTAAGAAGCCTCGAAAAGCCAGAACAGCTTTCTCAGACCACCAGCTCAATCAGTTGGAACGTAGCTTTGAACGGCAGAAGTACCTGAGTGTCCAAGACCGCATGGACCTGGCAGCTGCACTCAATCTTACTGACACCCAAGTCAAGACCTGGTACCAGAATCGCCGGTAAGGAAAGCTGCTCAAGGGAGCACAAGTGTCTGGACATTTCCCACTGGCCTCTGGAGACTCGGGATTGAGAGTGAGATAGCCTAGTGTAGGTGCATGGGGTTTTCAGACAAGAGTGAGGATTAGCGTACCACCAAGTGAGAGGGACCGAAGAGCAGCTGGAGTTTGGGCAGCTTTGCACTTCCCAGTGTCCTAACAGGTGCTACTTTCTCTTTGAAATCTGAGCTCATGGGAACCCCCCCACTCATTTTGTCCCCAAATCAATCAAGCCACACCTCAAATTGAGACATCTGTGCAGCTGACACTCAGGCCCAGAGAGCCTACTTGTGCCGTGCCTCTCTTGGGTTTACCCTTGGCTAGTTCCAAACGTCTGTAGCTGGCAGCAAGGCCCAGCTGCTGCAGTCCCCATAGAGCCGTCCCACCAGCCTCTGCTTAGATGTGTAGGAGCTGGGAGAGCTAGGGTCCCGCATAGCTCAAAGATTGGGAGAGCCAGGCTGCTTAGAGTTTGGTTGGCTGCTGTAGGCTGGAGATCAGGCATCTGGCCAAGCATCCAGACTTGGGGGGAGGGGGTATCTGTCCCTTGCACTGACTACCTCTGCTGTCTCAAATAGGGCGCAAGGGTGCCACAGAGCTTCTCAGCACCAAGTCATTTTGTGTAAAGGAAATTGAGAAAGTCGTTGCCAGAACTTGCAGGGCCCCAAACTGTAGGTCCAAACCTGGGCTATTTGATTAAGATTATGGTATTTCTAAGCCTGCTGCTGCTTAGCTCCCTTGTCACAATTTTCTCCCCACCCTTTTCTCTCGTTTGTGTTCTAATCGTCCATAAGTGCGGTTGGAAATGCCCATCCAGTTGTCATCTTTACCATAATTTTCTGTCTCATTACATACGGTTTCAGCCACCCTAATTCTGTCGGAAAACATTAGTGTCATTTGTAGCCAATTTAAAATGGGCGACATGTTTATTAATTTGGCTGGAGCTTTGGGGTATGGATGGCCCACCAGCCTTGCGATCCTTCATAAGGCATTTGAGCAAAAGCCTGCTTCTCTCTTTTTCCTAGCGGGGTGCAGGGGTGCAGCAGGGGAGGGTGGAGAGCAAGAAAAACAGATCATAGGTTTTGTTTCTTTTTCCTAAAGATGACATCTTGAAATATGTTCTCCCTCCACCTAGAGTAGCCAGGGGATACTGTCCCCTTGGGAGAGTCCTCTCTCAAAAGGATTTTTTTTTTTTGGAAAGCTTGTCATTCTCTGCACCCTAAGCCCCCTGCCTACTAGAAGGACCTGTCAGCCTGAGGAGAGTTGTTTCCAGAGCGTCAGGGATTGAAAGGGGCTGAGGTGCAGGCCCTGGAGTGTCCAAGTTCCTTTGTTTACATTTTCAGTTTCTTTTCAGTAGGGGGCTGGGGAGGGGGAGAGGCCACAGAAGAACCTTTGGGATTGTTGGGGGAACCTTGAGAATTAAGGCAGTCCTATGGAAAGAGGGATCTCATTTAGTCTCCAGGAGAGTTTTGGAAGTAACCAAACTATAGGCTGGTGTGTGTGTGCCTGTGTGTGTGTGTAGTGGGGGCACAGTAGAGAGTTGGGAAGAGGTGGCAAAGCTTGTGGGGTTCCATCTGTCAGTGTCTCCAACGTAGTGTAGTTTACAAAATTGGCTTTGGGTTTGGGTGCTACTGCCAACAAGGCAGGGGTAGGAGATGTGCATCTCAGCTTCCCAGAGCTCTTTGAGTCTTAGTCCATCTCAGAGAGAAATTGGAGGCCAGAGAGAGCCAGTGGTGGCTGGGCCCTTGGTGTCTGGGCCCTGCCCACAGCCATAGATTGTAGGCTCTTTCATTTTCTTTCAGGACCAAGTGGAAGAGGCAAACTGCGGTAGGCCTGGAGCTTCTCGCTGAGGCGGGGAACTACTCAGCGTTGCAGAGAATGTTTCCTTCACCTTATTTCTATCACCCAAGCCTTCTGGGCAGCATGGACAGCACCACAGCGGCGGCAGCTGCCGCTGCCATGTACAGCAGCATGTACCGGACTCCTCCAGCACCTCATCCCCAGCTACAGCGGCCACTGGTGCCCCGAGTGCTCATCCATGGCCTGGGGCCAGGGGGACAGCCAGCCCTCAATCCCCTGTCCAACCCCATCCCAGGCACCCCACATCCCCGGTGAAGAAGGAGGGAAGGCTGCGTGTCCTTTCCTGTCCCCGGCCCCAACCTGGACAGCTGCCCCGCCTCTCCTTACACCAGGCCAACGGGCCACAGGCTTCCCTTGCGGCCAACCCTGGGAGGCAGAGGAGTGAGAGAGGAAGACGCTCATCAATGGGTGGGGGTCCCCCAAGAGGAGCCAGCCCTCTGTTCTCCATCCCCACCCCCAGAGGCAGGGCTGGAAAGCTCCCCCAGCAGTTGTGACTGGCGAAATGCTGACCCCACACAAAGTGAAACCAGTAAGTGAAAACATCAACAAAAACAAAACCTCAAGTTCTTTTTAAAAACGACTTTAGGGACAAGCAGGAGGGAGGGAGGGGGGAGGGCTAAGGAGGGAAGAAGAAAGGGTATGGAGAGGAAGGTGGGGCAGAGAGAAGTGTAGGTGGACTGCCAGCCTCAAATTAGCAGGCAGAAGGTCTTGCGGTGGACATTCCATCTGCCCTGGAGAAAGAGGAGGGTGACTGAGAACTTTGCACTGATTTCTCATGACCTTTTTTCTTTTGGAAAAGTGGCATGCTCCATAATATGAAAAAAATGTACATTTGAAAGACTGAGTGATAAGTGATATATCATATTTATTATATGTTGTCAAAGAGTCACTTATATACGTTAGTAAAAACATGATTTTTCTTTTCATGTCTTTTTGATTCAGTAAAATAAATGCTTAGACGAAAATATAGATTTTTTTGTGATTGAAAATTACAAAAATAAAGTTTATCTTTTTTTAACAAGCGATGAAATCCCAGGGAGCTGATTTTACTGAAGCAGTTGTACATGCTATGACGAAATATGCGACTTCGTTAGAATAAAAATATCCCCTCTGGAATGTAAGGAATTTACAAAATGCGTACAACGTTGGGTTTGTTTGTATAAAAACAGCTCCGTTTTTTTTGGCTGGCCTCAGGAGCCTTAATTTGCTATGTGTGGGCGCCTCTCTGTTTTAAGTGCGTGGTTTTGGAACAGCCCCGAGGTCGCGCGGGAGGAAGTCTGTTCTTGGGCTGTAGACGCGAGCTTGGTGTGCGGCCGGCGGCTTCCCCCGCCACCACCGCCTGCTTAGAGGTCGGGACTCTGCCGCGCGGGGATCCCCCAGCTGCCCCTCCCCCTCCCGGGTCTTCCTAGGGCGCCGAGGGTCCCGGCGCGGGGCGGCGAAGCCGGCCTCGCAGCTGTTCTGCAGCCCGCGGCTGGCCGCCTGCGTGCCGGACAGCCTGCGAGCGAGCGGGAGGCTGCGGGGCAAGCAATTAGGGCGCCCCGGGGGACGCGGAGAGGCCCAGCTAACAAACCCTTGTTGCGGCTTTGATCCTCGTCTTCTGCATCCTGCCGCGGACTTCCAGTCGCCGCACCACACCGAGCAGTGCATCCTAGAGAGTTCGCTGTGCTTAGATGCCTCGAGCCGAATTGCCAAGGCGAACTCTGGTTGAGACAGGCATGCCAAATCTTTAATCTGTGCGCTGAAACGCCTGGGACCCTAAGTAGAAACCCTGCCCAGTGTGGAAGGCCCGATCTCTCTCTCTCTCTCTCTCTCTCTCTCTCTCTCTCTCTCTCTCTCTCTCTGTGTGTGTGTGTGTGTGTGTGTGTGTGTGTGTGCATGTGTACAAATGCATGGAGCTTCCGGGCCGCGCTGGGGCTTGACTTTAGGCCTCACAGCTCTGGGCAAGCTGACGTCCTACCAAGCTCAGCGTTGTGAGTGGAGCGTAGGGTTAGGGAGGTGCCTGCACTCTTCTTCCAGCCCCTAGGCCACCTCCCAAGCGGCTAAGTTGGCTCCTGTCACCACTCTCTTCTTTACCTGCTCTCGTATCCTCACTTTTGCCCTGGCATAGGTGTGTGTGTGGCGGGGGGGGGGGGGGTGAGGGGGTAGTAGGCAACTAAAACGGCTAGGATCGGGTCTCCAACTTTTTTTTGATGCTTGAAACTTATTTATTAGAGTTAAAAACGTTTTTAAAAACGTGGAGTAGTGTGGGAATAAAAGTTAAGGAGCGGGATGGAGGAAGGAAAGAAAGAGGTGAAATCCAGAAGGAAATTGCCTCAGGCGCCTTGATCAGACCTTGGCTAATTAGGGAGTGGTTTGCAGATCTCTCCCCAGCTCATCAATTTGCTTTAAAACACGATCTTGGTCTTCTTTGATTCTAATAAAAGGGTCTGGACTAGCCTTTTTCATATTGTGCCTGCTGAGCTGGGATAGACTCAGACAGCTGGGCAGCTGGGCTTGGCTGGAAACTGGGTGAAGCTATGTCCAGTAGGGCTGCCTAATGCCTGGGCACTCAGTGGACTGTCCTTGCTTTGCCTTAGCTGGTGTGCTTTTTTTTTTTTTTTAAATCAAGTTTCAACAGTCTGCATGGTTTGCTAGGCCCAAAAGGGCACTTGCCCAGATTTGAAGGTGTTACAACTTTGTTCTGCACTGGACCGGTGCTGGCCCACTTCGGGCACAGGAGAGACTTGGAAATGCACACAGTTCACACAGAAAAATCCGTATCAAGAATTACCTCAGGTGCAAGTGGGGAAAATGCACAAAGGAACCTAAAATCCAAGCACGGCTGCAGCACCCATGTGGTCACCCACTGACCAACCCCTGCTGGGGAGTCTGCTGGCTGCTACTTTACGTCCAACACTGAATTTGGGCTCCTAGGTGGTCAGTGGAGGGAGTTCTGTCTACAGAGAGCAAACTTTGGAATTAACCTCCAACTTCACAGCCACTAATAATCTGGATACATCAGAGCCCCCCTTTTCTTCAAAGTCATGTTCTCTTGATACACACTAAATCATACAGTTGAAAGTGTTAACACCCCTCTTTCTAAATTTGCTATTCCATACAAGTTAGCAAACTGAGTTTAAGTGGGAGGAATGGGAAGTGGAAGCTGTCCCAGGAAGAAAGTAGGGTACTGTGTTTCTTCTTTTCATGTTTTCCTTTCTGCAGGAGTGCTACAAAGGACACCTTAGCAGGTGCCCTAATATTCAGAAGTCCCCAAAGTACCGCTTAAAAGTCAAACTTAGTCCATTTCCTCACAAAGGGTTCCAGGGTTGGTTAAAAGATCAAGAGAGCAATGTTAGATATTCACTCATATTCCCCCTTCCATCTTTGGTAGAAATCAAACCCAGTGCTCCATAAGTGCTGGGCAAGCATTCTAGGCAAGCAACAGGCCCAGCTCCAAGGTTTTCTGAGAAGTAAGGAACACCCCGACATGCCTGTTCTCCTGGGAGATCTCCAATCACAGGGCCCCAGGATGGTGTCACCTGGGGCTGCACTCCTTTACTCTTCTCCACTTTCACCTTGTGTATGAAGGCCAGTCTATTGCTGGACTCCATTTACGTTGCTCCTTTATTAAACTGAAATCTGATAGAAAAGAGACTTTCAGTTGCACTTTTTGTGTCCCTCAGGAAGGGAGCTTGTTTCAGAGAGATGTTTAAAATTCCATAAAGATGTCTTAGATTTGCCCAACCCAATATCAGCCCAGGGACTCCAGCACACCTAGCCAGAAATCTGTAGTTGAGTGTTAGGGAATAAGTTAAAGTATCTGGCTGCAACCAGCTGTTCTAGCCCAACCCAGTGATTTTCAATGAATTGCAAAGTAAACGACTGCAGCTTGGCTCCACGCCTCCAGCAAATATACCTACCAGCCAGTATCAGCTTATTTTTGCTCCACCCCTTGAAATGAAAGGCCACACCATGGCAAATTAGACAGCCAATTTCCTGTTGCAAATAAAACCTCTTACCCTGAAACGAAGCCTTCCGCCCTCCTCCCTCCCTGCAGCTGACTCCTGCCTAGGCAGCCCTTCCCCAGGAGTCGCAGAATCCCATCTCCCTCTTCAAACAAGCAGCTTGTGAGTAGTTTGTTTTGTTATATTTTTAACTTTCTAAAAATATTTGGAAAAGCTCTCCCCAGGGCTAGGGAAACTTTAGTTCTTGTTAAACCACGTGGTTACAAAAATATACTGGAAGAGAGCTACTTGATTTTTCAAAAAGTCAGGCAGGGCTTGAAGTCAACTTGCTTGGAAAGGAACAGACTTTCACCACTAGTGGGCACGGTCAGGGGCAAGGCCAAGCCTCGGAGGGAACGGATGTTTCCCCTGCAGCTCCAGTCCTTCTTGGGGGCAAAGCTAGCTTGCTCTGCACTCTGGCTGTTGACTAGAGAGACGTGTGGGCGAATGGTGAGCGGGCGCTTCTCCAGCGTTCACTCTAGGGACCTTGGAAGAGTGCCTTCAGGCTCCTTGAATTTCTCGCTCAGTGTTTGTCCAGCCCCTTTTCCTTGGTCCGCTCTGTCCAGCCTGCTCCACTACTGTGTCTTTTCCTGGAGTTGGGGGTTTCTCAGTGACCGGCGCCCCTTCTTTCTTACTTCTAGCATGCTGAATGCCCTCAGGCCTGGGTTAGGGTAAGTGTGTACGGTGAGGGGTGTGCTTTTACAATGGGAGGTGTTACTGGCCTCTCCATTGGAAAATCAAGTCAACTGTCTCGAGGCAATGAGGTGATCCAGAAGAGAATTTATCTTTCCCTCCTTCTAGCTGAATTCTGAAGGTCTAGTCAGTCTGAGTGTTGCTGGGCGTACCGTCTGGGTCCACGTCCCGTTCTCAGTGCTCTTCCTGTCTACCTCTCCCGGTTTGTCCCCTGAATCTCCCTCTCCCGGTTTCTCTCTCCTAGCACCACAGACAGCTCCCAGGTCGCGCGGCGAGCTAGGTGCCCAGGGTTGGCTGGTTCCAGGCAAAGCCAGGGCGACCGCTGGGGGCGCGCGGGGGAAAGGTCGGCGGCGCCCGGGGAGGTCCTCGAGGTGATTACAGAGTCCTCCCCGGCAACGTTTCCTGATTAGCTCTAAATCCAAATAGGGTCACATTCCAAAGAACGAAATCTTCAGATCAATAAAAGGAATTCAAAAACTAAAAGATCTCCCGGTAAGTAGTGCTCAGTGACAGATCAACTCTCAAACGCCCTGTTTAATAAGTTCTCAATGGAAGCCGACTAGGGAGGAGCTGGAGCTCAGCTCTGGGGCTCCGGAGCCCTTGCGCCGTGGCTGCCGCGGGTCGTCGGCGCCACCTCTCTAAACTGCAGTGACTTCCTGCGCCCGCAGGCCTGGAGCGCGCTGGGCAAGCGGCGGCCCCGGCCCGGGAAGGCCGAGCACCCGCGTCCCCGAGGCGGCCGCCCCGCGGGTCAGCGCCGCTGCTCCCTTCACGCGGGCCCGGAATGCTCCCGGCTGCTGCTCCGCTCTGGTGCCGGACAGCGGGTCGCCCCGTGGGAACTCACAGAAAAGGAGCGTGGCGAGCGCGAGACTGAACCTGGTTTACGATGAAAGGGCCTTGCCACTTCCAGAGCTGATGGGCTTG